AGGAGGTTGGCCCGGGTGTAGACGGAGAGGGCGGAGCATTGTGTCTGCACTGCTCCGCGAGCTGGACTCGCTGAGGTGGCTGACTCGCTGCCGCCAGAGGCGTCGGGTGGAAAGGGCTCTGCTGCTCATCAGGAAGCTGACAGAGGCAGCAGTCGCCGCAGAAAGAAGAGACTCCCCGCCCCATTCCTCTGGGCTCCTCTGTGTCTGCCAAAGCCTCTGTTGTGACGGCTTATTGCTCTCCTTTATTGTCCTCCCGTGCTGCTTTGCCATTCAATTAATGGGCCAGGTGAGTAAACATACACTGAGCACCTCTGGTGCACCCAGCTCTGTGCACTGTGCTTGAATACAAAGATGTGGAGCCTAAAGTCTACAGTGGGGACAGATTTATAATCCAGCAAAGTCAGATCCAGTGAGTGATGGTGACATTTAGAGACGTGGGCAGAGGTGGGAGCCTCACCTAGATTGGGGGTGTTGGAGGGAAGGCTTCCTGCAGGAGAGGGCACCTGAGCTGCACCTTGAAGAGGGAGAAAAGGTTACCTGGGGGATAAAAGGTAGGTCTGGCGCTCCAGGCAGAGGGAGCAACCACGTCTGGTGAGAGAATGGCTCCACCAAACACAATGTGCGTGTCCTTCTCGTTCCCAGAACTCACATTGTATATTTGTGTTGGTGTAGGGTCTGAGTCTTATTTGTTTTGAATATATCCACAGAGCTTAGCACAGTGCCTGCCGTATAGAAGATGCTCAGTACCTGCTTATTGAACTGATTTGAAATGAATGCTGTGATTTACAGTTTATAAGCCAGCCTCCAATAGAGACCCGTTGTTAGGTCATTTACATGGAACTGGGATGGGACCACAGGGTGATTATTTTGCCTCCCCAGTCCCATCCTGTTTCCTGTCTTGCAGCTTTTCCTTCCCTCTTTCCCACTCTTCCTGAAGCCTGTGGTGTAACAGTCTGAGCCCTGGGAGAGTCTGATGAATGCGCCCTGGCTTGCTTTAACCTGGTTGTCTGTTCACTCTTCCTGACTCTGTGTTACCGAGAACTCCCCTTCCCAGCTCGGACTCCTTGCAGCCTGATGTGATGTGCAAAAACTAGAGGTGGACCTTGTTTCTAAAACTTTAGTTGATCTTACGATGGTTGAGATAGCATGGGAACGCGCTGGTCACTGCCTTAGGCTAACTCAACAAAAAACAGTGTCACAGAGATGGTCCAGATGAGATCTCCTGCACTATAATCATAGCTCACGTTTATTGAGTGTTTCCCATGCACTAGGCACTGTTCCATGTGCTTATATATATTCACTCATTGAATCTTATAAATTTGTTTATTTTTAATTTTTTTAATTTTTGGCTGCACACGGTATTTGTTTTTCTCTTTTTGGCTGCATTTGGTCTTCGTTGCTGCACTCGGGCTTTCTTTAGTTGTGGCAAGCGGGGGCCACTCTTCGTTGCAGTGCATGGGCTTCTCATTGCGGTGGCTTCTCTTGTTGCGGAGCATGGGCTCTAGGCGTGTGGGCTTCAGTAGTTGTGGCTTGCAGGCTCTAGAGCGCAGGCTCAGTAGTTGTGGTGCATGGGCTTAGTTGCTCCGCGGCATGTGGGATCTTCCTGGACCCAGGGCTCGAACCCGTGTCTCCTGCATTGGCAGGCGGATTCTTAACCACTTCGCCACCAGGGAAGCCCCACTCATTTAATCTTAACGAAACTATTACCATCTCTCTTTTATGGATGAGAGTTCTGAGGCTCAAAGTCTTAAATAACTTGCTCAGGGTCATATACCTAATAAGGGTAGAGCTGTCACTTGAGCCTAGAATCTGGTTCCAGAGCCTTTGCACTTCTGATACCGTATATCAACTTCCCATTTCTTCATCATAAACCATCCTTTTCCCATAGTCACCAACAAAGGCCAGAGGGCCTGCTTCTCGTGGTGCAATGCTGGTAGATGTTGGTGTGTATTAGTTAGGAGGAGCTGAATAGTGTCTATCACTTGGCACATAGAAAACCCTATTTAAGTATTTCCATGTTTGTTTGGACAGGATGAACAGCCCATCCAATTCAGTCTTTAAAGTTAAATAAGCCTTTCTAACCATTCTTTTTACCAGTGCCCACCATTATTTAAATCTAACACCATGTTTTAAAGAACCTGAGCCACCCATTTTACATGTTGTCTAAGTCCATTCTGGCCGCCATAACAGAATACCATAGACTGGGTGGCTTATAGACAACAGAAATACATTTCTCACAGGTCTGGAGTCTGGGAAGTCCAAGATCAAAGCACTGGCAGGTTCAGTGTCTGGTGAGAACCCACTTTCTGGTTTCTAGGTGGCTGTCTTCTTGCTATAACCTCACACAGCAGAGTGGGTGAGGGAGCTCTCTGGGGTCTCTTTCATAAGGGCACTAATCCCATTCATGAGGTCTCTGCCCCTGTGACCTAATCACTTCCAAATATTGAATATGAATATGATTGGGGGGGGGAACACAAACACATGTTAAATAGGGGAAATCATATATTTGTCATCTTTCTCTTTTCTGTCCCCCTAATCCTTAACTAGTCAAGCAAGACCATCTCCAAAGCTTCTCCTTGAGATGAGCATTCCCTGACTTAACAGGTATGAGTAGTGGAATAGGTGAAGACCAGCACAGAGACAACACTGGTCAGCCAGGAAAAGAGATGTCATGTGCCTGTTTCATGTCCTAAGAACAGGCAAAGGACAGTCATCCATGTACTTCCTCCTTCGTTCAATCATTTGCTTATTGAATGCCTACTGTAAGGCAGGCAGAATTCTAGATCCTGGGGCTCCTGTGGGAAAAAGCCAAAGCCCTGGCCCTCCTAGAACTTACATTCTGTTGGGACAGTAGGCAATACTCTGAAGTGAAATACCGTAAGGAGGAAAGTGGTAAGAGTGGTCAAGGGAGGTCTCTGAGGAGGTGGCATTTGTGAGGGAACAAGCCAGTGATAATCTAGGGGAAGAAAGTCACAGGCAGAGGCAACAAAACGCAGAGACCCAGAAGTAAGAATGAACCTGGCCTGTTCTAGGAACTTTGGGAAGCCCAGCTGGCTGGAGCAGAGCTAGTAAGGTGGGGGAGGAGAGAGAGGGAAGCCCCTATAGTGGCAGAAGCCAGATCACCGAGGGCCTGGAGAGAACTGTGGGTTTTACTCTGAATGGGATGGGAAACCACAGGAGTGATTTAAGCAAGGGTGTTATCATCTGCTTTGTGTTCTTCAGTGATCACTTTGGTGGAGAATAGACAACAAGGACAGGAGTGGAAGCAGGAAACGTTGTATGAGGCTAGTAGTATAATTTCAGAATTTAAAGAAGGTGCTGAGAGTCCCATCCATCCTTCACCCCTATTCCCCACATGTTAACATCTTTGAAAATTACAGTACACATATCAAAAATCAGGAAAATTTGAAACAACACTGTTCTTTAATCCGCAGACGTTAGTCACATTTCTCCGGTTATCACACTAATATCCTTTTTCTGGTTCAGAATCCAACCCACAACTACACCCCACGTTTGGTGATAATGTCTCCTTAGTCCCTTAACCTGGAACAGTTCTTTAGTCTTTCTGTGCTTTCATGACCTGGACACTCTTTATTTTTAAAGATTTTTTTTTTGATGTGGACCATTTTTAAAGTCTTTATTGAATATGTTACAATATTGCTTCTGTTTTATGTTTTGGTTTTTTGGCCCCGGGGGCATGTGGGATCTTAGCTCCCTGACCAGGGATCGAACCCTTGTCCCCTGCATTGGAAGGAGAAGTCTCAACCACTGGACCACCCGGGAAGTCCCAACCTTGACATTTTTGAGTACTAGCCTGACTGTCCTTCCCCCCTAGAAAGTCTCTCCATTTGAGTTTTTCTGATGCTTCCTTATGGTTAAATTTTTATAAGAATAAAACAAAAGTGACGATATGCCTTCTCAGTGCATCATATCAGAAGGCACATGATACTGATTTGTCCTCTTACTGGTGATGCTAACTTTGATCGCTTGGTTAAGATGGTGTCTGCCAGGTTTCTCCATTGTAATCACCCTTTGTAATAAATCAGTATGTTGTGAGGAAATACCTTGAAACGTTGAAACTATGTAAATATTCCGTTTCTTATCATATATCTGACAAACTAACTAGAGTATTGTATTTGTATACAAATCTTTTTACATTTGGCCTTAGTACCATTTTTCATAGTTAATTTTGTCAATTCTTCCCCTAACCCCCTTCAGTGAGGTTGTACCACTTATTTGTAATATGGCTAGGTTCACTTGTTTCTGTTCATATTCCATTTTGGGTTCTCCTTCCCCCTCCCCCTCAGCAACACACACACACACACACACTCCTAGTTTTTATTTTTTACTTGTTTTCGAGTATGTGAAATAGTAACATGATTCCAAAACTCAAAACCAAACCCAAAAAAACACAATAAAAAGTGTCTCTCCTTCATCTCTTCTCCATTCCTGTTCCCCAGCCTCTCCCACACACCTGCTGTAGTTAACAAATCTCAGTAATTTCTCATCTACCCTTTTTTCTTAGATGAGAGGCTGGGTAATAGGAATGGAGAAGGAGAAGGAAGGAAGGAGAAGGAGAAGGAAGGAGAGGTAGCATAATGTAGATATTCTTTTGCACTTTGCCTTTTTCCCTTTACAGTATATCCTGGAAATCATGTCATAGCCATCCAGCAGGTCTTCTCCATTCTTTTTCATAGCCGCATAGTACTCTGTGAATGTACCATAGTTTTATTTGCCCACTCTCTTATATGAGCATTTAAGTTGTTCCCAATGTTTTGCTATTTCAAACCATGCTGAGATGAATAAAGTGTGTATTTGATGGGAGCAGGGACAGTATCTTCAAGATAAATTCCTGGAAGTGAGAGGGCTGGATTGAGAGCTCAGTGCATACGTAGTTTTGTTGGATATGGCCTTCCCCATGTTACTGGTTTGCATTCTCATCGACAGTGTATGAGAGTGCTTTTTCCCCCAGAGCCTTTACAGCAAAATATGTGTCATACTTTTTAATTTTCTAGGCAAGAATTTTAATTGTGGCTCATACAAGGATAGTAGCAATGGAGATGGTGAGAAGTGCTTAGATTCTAGATACATTTTGAGGGAAAAACCAATTCAGAGTTTATAGTGGGTTGCTTTGGAGGCTAATGAAACAGTTTTCCAACCAGGGTTCTCTCTAATTCTGTTTAAGTATTAGGCATCAATATTAACAGTGTAAAGTAATAGCTTCTTTTCACTTGTCTGACATTTTTGAAGCTTTGGGTGACTCTCACCTTCCTCTTGGACCAGCCTTATTATAATATTCTAGTAATTCTGTGGCATTCTAGTAGGTAATGGTACTGCTCTAACAAATAACTTTCAACATTTCAGTGGCTTAATGCAAAGGTGTTTTCCTCATGCATGTAACAATCCAGTGCAAGTGTTCCTGTTCTTTTCCATGTGGTGATTCAGGGTCCCAGGCTCCTTCTAGAATTTCTCTGTGTCCTGGCGTCTTGGAGTCCTCCAGGAGGAAGTATAAAGAGAAAGTGGAAAAGGAACGTCTTAACTGCCTCGGCCTGGGAGGGATGTGTATGACTTCCGCGTACTTTCTGGGTTCCCTTGCTGAGAACTGGTCACATGCCCCCTAGTTGCAAGAGGGGCCAGTTAATGTGGCCCCTGTAGGAAGCAACTTTCCAGGGAGCGCTGTATATACAAGAAGAGGGAACATGAATTTCAGTAAACAATTAGCTGACTCTACCACAGATATTTAACAAAGTGAGTCATTCTAGTACTGTGTGGGAATAAACATTTTGCACGATGGAATGCATATCCTGAAGCATTACATTCTCAGATACTGAAGGAAGGTTAAGGGTCGGGGGATGGGTACATGAAGTTTAATAACAGGGAGAGAAGATGAGTTATACAGAAAGAGAAAATATTTAGCTTTGAAAGGCTAAGTAAGCATAGCAGAGGAGTTCCAAATAACGAGATTTGTGGATGAAAAAGCGATTTTTGTGTCTTCATTCATCTGCTCTTTCGTTCATTCAACAGGTACCACCAGAGCCTGTTTGCTGCTGGCCCTGTGCTTGTTTTGGGGTGGGAGTGGGGGAGGGAAGAGGAGATGGGAGCTGCAGGGGGTGGTCAGCACAGGTGCACTGGGGGAAGTGGTGTGTATTCTTACAGGGACAGGAATATATACAAGCAGAATGTTGTGCAGGTATAGGGAGAAGCTATTAAGCATAATCCAGGATAGTGGGGGGTTTTTTTCCTTTTGACCTTGAAAAAATATCTTCTGAGACATTGTATGAGAGAAACTTTCCTAAAAGCTTTTAAAGTGCAGTACTTCATTAGAACAAATTGATGATCTAAAGAAGAAAAATGTCGGATTCCAACAAATAAGAAACAACTTGTATGTTCTTTTCAGAATATAATATTTTTCAATAAAAATGAGTAAAAATTTCTCATATTCTTAAGTATTCATAAGCTTTGTGCTCATCTTATACATAAAAAGTTACTGTTGTTCTCAGTACACAAGAAGTTTGATTTATGATGGGACTGCCAGGGAAGAAAATCTGTCATAATGTTTTATAGCCAAACCACTGGAGTGATGCTAATAACCATCTGTACTGCACACCACAGTTTACAGAGTGGTCCCAGGTAATTGGCCCCGTCATGCTCACTGTAACCCTGTGAGGTAGGTAGTGGTTAGGCTGATATCATCCTCAGTGTTATCATCGTATTACCATCATCCCCAGTTTACAGTTGAAGAAACTGACACTTGAGGATGTAAGTAATTTTCCCAGAATCTATAAATTTAAATTCCCAGAGAGAGAAAATACATTTTAAATTCTGATATTGTTGTCTATCAACACCTGTATTCAAGAATAAAATAAATCTAACTGAGCTTTTTTAAAGCCCCGTTTACTGCTCACCTGCTGTCGGGATGTGGGGTAGACGGGGCTTAAAAACTACGGTCAATATTTCCAAACAGTGCGGTATTTTCTGTTCTTAGAACTATGTCTATTTTTTGAAGGTCAATTAATTGCCTTTTTCATTCCCCTTTGGTCTTTACAGTAATTGATTTTATGGTACATTAAATTTTGGGGAAAAGTGCATAAAGAGTGGGACTTTTATTCTTGGAGCCCATTTTTTTCTCTTTGGGGACTTATTCTTTCAACAGAAGTTTGTTGTGTGCCAGGAATTGCGCTAGCTCCGAACTCCTCTGCTCTCACAAGTTACTGGTGAATAATGTTGTCACTTTGTGACGAATGGCCATCTGTGTCTGTTCTCTCAGGTGGGGTGACTGCTCTCTGTTGGGACCCCGTCCAGCGGGTGTTGTTCTCGGGGAGCTCCGACCACTCTGTCATCATGTGGGACATCGGTGGGAGAAAAGGAACAGCCATCGAGCTCCAAGGACATAGGTAAGGCTGCTGGTGCTTTTATTTTTTTATTTATCATTTATTTTTTATATTTATCTATTTATTTATTCATTTATTTATTTATTTATGCGGTACGCGGGCCTCTCACTGTTGTGGCCTCTCCCGTTGCGGAGCACAGGCTCCGGACGCGCAGGCTCAGCGGCCGTGGCTCACGGGCCCAGCCGCTCCATGGCATGTGGGATCTTCCTGGACCGGGGCACGAACCCGTGTCCCCTGCATTGGCAGGCGGACTCTCAACCACTGCGCCACCAGGGAAGCCCCAAATTTATTTATTTTTTTATTTTTGGCTGCACTGTGGGGCGTGTGGGATCTTAGTTCCCCCACCAGGGATCGAACCCGCGCCTTTGGCAGTGAAAGCACCGAGTCCTAACCACTGGACCACCAGGGAATTCCCTGTTGGTGCTTTTATGAAGAACTCTGGGAAAGATTCCCGGCTGAAAGCTGGAACAAAGGCATGCGGGCCAGTCTTTGTGGCGGGAGCTTAGCCTGGGGATAATGTGACAGGAACGCAAATAATGGCCACTTTGATTTATATCTGTACATAAGTATGTTTATTTATTTATACCCCATTTTAACCCACAGAGGATTTGAGAGTGCTTACAAAAACCACAAAATAAAATAGTGGCAGCAAAGAAATAAAAGGTAAAAAAGAGAACCAGGGAAGACTATAAGAGTAAAAATTTGAGAGTGAGAGAAAAAAGAGCTTCAGAATATAAGCTATGAAGGCCTACAGAATTTCTATAATTGAGTTCAAATGTGGTTTCAAGATTCCTGGCAGCTTAAGGAAAAGGTATCCTCACCCAGTACATGTTGTACTTCCCCAGATATTTACTGAGTACTCGCCTTGATTAGTATCAGGCTCTTCTTCCTTAAGGAGTGGATTTCAGGAGACTGAGAGGAAGAGCAGAGAAAGCTTTTTGCTTCCTTGGAGCAGTTCTCAAACTTTGTTGTCCGCCAAGAATCACTGAGAAATCTGTTAAGTAGATTCCTGGGCCCTGTCCTCTGAGATTCTCTCCACTGGTCTGGAGCTGCGGGCATCTGTGTCGTAACAAGCCTCCCAAGTAGCTCTGCCAGTGACCCTTGGACCACACTCTGATTTGTCCCACGTGTGCTGCCCGAGGTCCCCGGAGGCAAAGCCTGATCGTGTTGCCAAAAAGAATTTTCAATCTGCTTTAGAACTCTGAAGCTGATCTGAATTGTCTTTAACTTTTAAAGTTTTCAACCTGATCTTAACTATGACTCTAATATATCAACTCCCATGAACTGACTGGTTTTAAGTGGCATTAGCTCCGCCTGTAGATCTGCCTGGAAACACGAGTTTCAAAAACTTCTCCTAAGAAGTTAAATTTACAGTTTGGAATTATTAGATATGAGCTAATTCAATTTTACAGGGCCCATGCACAAATACTTATATTTTGTGTTAGAGTTTAATTTTAGAGACGTAGCTACTAAGTCCTTCATTCCCACATGAGAGAACAGATCAGTTGTCCGGGGCTATACTTGGCTTGTGGGACCACTCAGACCTCAGTATCAGCTCATGAAAGGAATTACTCCCTTATATTTCTCTCCATGACAAGGGGACACATATCGAGATCACGTAGAAGGAGTTGACATCATCCATGTAAGTGAAGAAAAAGAAAAACAAAATACAGCCCTGTTTCCTAATACTTGGTTACCAGCTACTCTACCAAGTAATTTCTGCTACTCGGGCTGCCTCCGAGAAATCAGATACAGGCTTTGAATGAAGATCAGCAGTATTTCTTGGACTCATTCAGATTAGCTCATAACTAGTTTTATTTCTACACAGTGGTTCACAAAGACTGCAAGCAGGGCGGGTGTCAGTACTCACCGCCAGCGTCACTGGGTGCTGCGTGTCCTTAGGCAGAACGTTGTTCTGGGAGACTTGCATCTACAGTTGGATAAGAAAGGAAAAGCTATAAAGTGGAGACAGTCTCTCAGTTCCAGAAAAATGAAGCCTAAACTAATAGGTCTTCCAGTTTCTGAGACATACAGGCTTGGCCTTTTAGAAGATGAAACGAACCATACTTGGAGTCCATCCTGATAGGATTGCACCCTGGAGCCTGGTGCGGTGGACAGGCTGGTGAGATCAGGAGCTACCGGTCAGAACTGCCTTGAACAGGAAGAACAGCAGAAGGCCTTGCCTGGTGCTTTATTTATTGATAATTCAAGCTTAGTAATAAGGTGGAGTCTATGAGGGGCTCCTTGACACCAGGTCTTAGTCTGAGAGGGGTTGCCCTTGGTGTCACAGAACTAGGAGAAGTAAACTTCCTCAGCATCGTTGGTGTCACACTGTGAGAGTGGGTTTGAGTGCCCGAGGTGGGGACAGGGAAGCATTGGAGCTGCTGACAGATGGAGGAAGACGGGGTTCACAAAGAAGGTGCAGGAAAGAAGGTCAAGAGCATCAGGCAGGATAAGGCCCACGTTCACAGCAGCCATTCCTCTGCCCTGAAAACTGGCCACTGGATTGGTGTTTGGTGATTCCTGTATTTGTTTTTCGTTTTTTGTTTTTTTCAAATTATCTGCAATCTTTTCTTGTTTCTTTTTTTTTTTTTTTAATTTTTATTGGAGTATAGTTGCTTTACAATGTGTTAGTTTCTACTGTACAGCAAAATGAATCAGCTATACATATACATATATCCCTTCTTTTTTGGATTTCCTTCCCATTTAAGTTACCGCAGAGCATTGAGTAGAGTCCTGTGTGCTATACAGTAGGTTCTCATTAGTTATCTGTTTTATACATAGTATCAGTAGTGTATGTATGTCAATCCCAATCTCCCAGTTCACCCCATCCTTGATTCTTGTATTTGAGTAGCGCCTAATACTTTGTCAAAGAGCTTTCAAAACACACAGACACCTCAGTTTAATCTTACAATAACCCTATGAAAGAGAGAGGTCAGATATCATTTTTTCGGTGAGAATATTGGGCTTCCATCCTCAAAGACTCCAGCTGGTAGCTTAGGTCTCCCAGACCTCAGTTCAGTCCAGCAGAGAAAGCTTCTCAGAACCTTCTTTGTATCCAGCCCTGTGCTAGGCTCTGGGGAAACAAAAATGAACATTGAATAACATGGTCCCCACCATGCCCCATGGTGTTTTCTTTCTTTTCTACTTTAGAGGCCGAAGGCTTTCTGCTTGGGGCCTCAGGCTGCCCCTTGCTCTCCTACAATTCCTCATTTTCCCACCTTCCCCCAGGATGACTGTTGGTGGCCAGAGTTCCAAATCAGGGGCCCAATCGTTGAGCTTGGGCACCGGGAAGAGCAGACTGGAGCAGAGATTCCCCACCCCTCAGGGTGGGGAGACTGCCTTCCCCTCTTCTGGAAAGGTCCAGCCATAGTGTGGAGGGACAGCTCCCTGTGGCTTCTGTCCCAGGTTCTGAGCTTTCACACCATCCTTCATTGGCAGAAATACAACATTAATGTAGCTAGTTTGATTTGATGTGTAAAAATCCCATCAAAGCAGAGAGAGCTTTAGCACAAGTAAGTGATTGATGACAGCAAAAATGTTTCCAAGTCCAAGGAAAAAAAGCTGAGAAAGTATACTTCTATAGTACAATATTATCTGCATTTGAAGCATTTTGGTATTTTTATTCCCTGCAGCAAGTAGAACATGATTACGTGCCAGCTCTGGGGAAAGAAAGGCAAAGAAAAGGTTCCAATTTCAGGGGCCAGTTATGTTTTTCAAGAATCAGTTACCAGTTAGATGGATATGATTGAAGCATAAACCTGGACATTTATTGTCCCGTGCCCACCTTGTCAAATCTAATCATGGGACTTGGACCTTTTAGATTCTTTTTTATTCTGATAGGTATAGGATAATACCTATCATTTCATGGCCACCTTTTCTTTCATGGCCATATTTTTTCTTTCTAATAGTGTTTTCTTAGGACTCTAAGACTTCCTGGCAATTTAATTTAATGGTAACTTGATTTAAAGCACAGGTAAAGGTCTGCGTGGTCCCTTGTGATGGACCCCTCCACCAGGACTGGGATCCGCGGGCTGCATGAGGCTCTGTCACAGCCGGGACCCTGGGCCCACGTGGCCTGTGTCTTTGCCTCTTTCCACAGCCCCAGCTCTGGGTTTCTCTCTTCCTCTTCTTACCATGGGTAAGACTTTTGTTATAAGCATCTTCGAATTCTTTTGGTAAAGAAATAGGCTATTCATAAATAAATAAACAGTGGGAGAATTTATGCTTTTCTCTTATATCAAAGTTATGAAAGGAAGTAAAATTCTTGCACTCAGGTTCTTCTGGGTTTGGGGGAGAGGGACCAAGGATAAATATGTATGAAAGCTTTCTCTCCTTCCGAATCTGAGATTAGGAGCGTTTCTCATTGTCACACCAGAGAATCATTAGGGGTGATGGGAAGAGATGTCTTTTCTATTTTTAAGTATTTAGCTAACTAAAGACATAATAGGTCAAAGTATTAGCAGCTAAAGTTCTTTACAGAGGGTAGCATCTCGTCAAAGACAGAGGGGTTGTATAGTGTGGTGACTAGTAATAGCCTTTGAGTCAGGCCAGGCTGTATACGAGGCAGCCCTTCTGCTGAGGGCTCTGTAGGCTTGGGCAAGACACCTCATCTCTGATCTTCAGTTTCCTCATCTCTAAAATAAGGACAATATTGGAAAGAAAAGCCCTCAAAGGTTGTCAAAAATCAGAAATAATACAATGCATGTAAAATAATCAGCACAAGAATAAGGGGTAATTAGTGGCAATTGTTAACATTATTCTTGTTAATAAAAATGATAATAATTCAAAAATCGAGCTTTCAGATAAGATTACTGTTTCTCCCTGATTGTAGCATTTCCAATGGAAATATTGCCACATACACCTACTCCCTCTATACCTAATATATTCAGCAGATGTTCATTGAGCTCCGTCTACAGACCAGACTTTGTATTGGGCTCTTAGGACCCAAAGGTGACTAAAAAAACAGTCCCTGCCTCTATGGGGCTGTGCTAGACGTATGAAAAGGTGGTAAAGGTGGGTCCGTTTGCCATTTTACTGGAAAGTAGGTGGCCTCGGTGGGGGAGATTCCCCGTTGATCTGGATCTTAGGAGATGAAGAGATTCTCATCGTTCTGCTGAGGATTACCCAAACAGAACTGCATGAACTAAATACAGTGTTCTCAGGAAACTGCAAGTGGACAGAGGGCCAGTGGCTAATCTGAACTTCCACTCTAGCCAGTGAACAGCAAATTGTTGCTGATGCACAAACCAGTGTTCCCAGAAGGGAGACCCCAAGTTCAGGTTCAGCCTTGGCTGTTGTCCAAGAATCCCTGGGGAGACGATCCTTCTAGGGTCCCTTTGGTGTGGGACAACCCTAAGTGTCAGTTATCCTGGAGACCTCTCATGTGTGGATCGGTCACGGACCTTCTCTGGTCCTAGGAGGTCTGGAAAACTTAGGAATGTGGGAGTTACAAATATAAGAGAGAGAGAGATCTCTAGAAGCAGATGCTTAACTGGTTAGATTTCACCAGGTGGGCTGGGAATTTTCATACTCTGGAAAGTTTCATTTCTTTGCTGTACATTTAAGTCCCGCCTACTTTGGGGATGGAACAGGGCCTAAGTTGATGTTTGGGTAGATGGTAGCCTGTGTCTGAAAATCTGTTTCTATAAAGAGGATAAAGGCTTCTCTACCCTTTTTCCTCAAGAAGCATCAGACACAGGACCAGCCTTCATGGGCGTGTGACCTTTGCACTCACATGAGGCCTCACGCTTAGAAGGGTCCCATGCTTGGTTGAGTGCTCTACTGTCACCATCTTGTAATGCTTTATTTTTTTGACAAGGGGCCCTTTGTTTTCATTTTGCGTTGTGTCCTCCGTGTTACGTAGCTTGGCCCGATCAGAAATGCTGCCTCTAGGGCTGGTGAGAAAGGGAGTGCGGCCATCCCACTAAGAATAGTCTTTGTAGATGGTGGAGCCTGTTGGTTGTGCAAAGTGGGGTCTTTATACACTCATAAGAGATTTGTAGTGCAGTTCATGGAATGCTCATCTATGAAATAATAACCAGTTTTGAGATGCTTTCTAGTATAAATGCTACAGTGATGCCGGATCAAACATGAATGCAAGAAGGTATCTTTTACTTTTTATAACTGTTGATCTGTGAACCTGGGGATGTTCCCTCACCTCGTTTTTAACTGCAAGGTGGTTGTATTTTGAATCCTTAAATCAAGAAGCCCCTGAGCTGCTTTATTACAAAGCTTGGGATACAGCATTCATCACTGTGTTCTCCTGTGTTGGAATATTAACAGGACTGGAGTCCCATAAATTATGTATCTGTTGCTGAATGTTGCTGCCAGCTGTGAGTGGCAAAGCACTTCCTTCTGTAGCTTATTTCGTTTTGCAAGATCCTTGACGTGTATCAAGGTGTCTTAACAAATGAAATGTAGTTCAAATCACAGGGCGGTTATGAATCTGTTCAAATAGATAGATTTTCCTTCTTGCCCCGGAATGTCACAATGGTGTCAGTCCATATTCTAAAATGTATGAAGTAACAACCAGGAGAGATAGAAAACAATTGACTTTGTTTTTTAATGAATACATGTCAAAGATTTTATATTAGTCATTAATTAATAAAGGAGCTGGTAAGATGTTACAACCAGTTCAGAGGAAAATCCAGAGTAGAAACATGCAGAGGCAATGGAGAATGCTGCAATGAATTTGTGTTTTCACAGTTGATTTCTTCCATGTGAGGAAAAGGATGTGGAAATTAGTTGCATCTTCACTGGATACAATTCATTTGCAGTAGTATCAGTTTTCTATAACTTACAGAGTTATAAAATAGCATAAAGATACTGAAGGTACAGACCCCCATAGAGTCAGAAAACCCAGAAGGGGGTGCTAGACCATACCTGATATTCCATTGAAAAGATACCCCAGTAATTTCTTTTTGCCCATTTCAAAGTTTTTTGACCTACCTGCGAGTTCTTCCCCCTCCTCTCCTGTAATCAGAATAATCTCAAAGATTATTCTTGATCACACAAAAAAAGGCTGGTCTCATAAAGTTCGGCCTAATTATGTACACTGGTGCAATAAGAGTGTAAATTAACCCGCAGGCCATCTTGGTTTGCTTTGCAAATATGGAGCCGTACAGTGTTAAACAACTATTAAGCCCACAACATTTACAAAAGTTTTTATAAGGAATCTTGGATTGAGCTTTTCAGAACCTCTGTTATCTGCTATCCCAAGGCTAGGAAACTGAGCCCAAGAAAATCTCCACCATTTTTCACCTATAGTACTTATAACCTTCGTTGAATTGCTCGAGGTTTTCAACATTTGCTAGCTTCCTGGCCTGGTAGCTTTCTTACCACCTGTAAGGCCAAGGACCCTGCAAACCAGGTACCAGGCCAGTTTTCCTTTTGGGAGGGGGATGGTCATAGGCATTGGCTCCCTTAATTCTTAAAGGGGCCAGTCATATCTGATTCAATGAACACTACCCTCCAATATGATACTCTAGGTAAGGCCTTGTCTGCCCAACGATATACTATGGATAGATTCTAATTAAACCTGTGAAATAACTATATTGCCATGCAAATCAAGGGGACTCAGTAACAGATTTTGAATTCTGGGGGATCTCTGGAATTGGATATCATTCTTAAATGTCTGGATTTAGCTTATCAAAGCAGAATTTACTAAATTATAAGTTAGAGATAGCATAAAAAGTAAGAGAAAAGGCAGCCTCATATATCCAAAAAATAGAACATTAAAGCAACGTCAACAGTATTCCAGACAAGTAACCACAGTAGAACTTCCCTCTTCAGTTCATTCAGTCCTGTGTCATTAATTCTTGTTCTGCTGGTTTTTGGTTCAGCAGTCTGCATTTTTGAAGCCATCTGCATGCAGACTAAAAAGAGTCCAGAAATCCAAGGAAATCCTGACTCGATCCACTAGCACAGTTTACAGATTATCTAAGCAATGTCAGTTCAGTACCCTTTGCCTAAGAGTCTATTCGTTTAAATACCAGTATTTAAAAATACCTGCTATATAGAGTCCTTTCCCAGGAAACTCTGAGATTGACCTTTCTGGCCTGTAGCTTATCGTGGAGGCTTCAGGCAAGAGTCAGAATAATACAAAGTTACCTGTAGATATTAGAGACTTAATGGTTAATTTTTACTGTTATAAATAATATCAGAATTGAGAAGAGTAAAATTCTCTATTGAGATACCCTACATAACTATTTCCTAAGAGATTTGATCAGTATTTTGCCTGCAGGTAAAAACAGACAATGAGAGCACTGATAAGTCTCCAGGGCCTTCCCATGCAATATACAATTGCAGAAATATATTAATAATATTTTACCCATACTGACTTAACCTAGGGAAGACTAAGCATCTCCTCTGATCCGACGGCTCTTCCTGTAACACAGTGAACAAATGCGGTTAGTAACACAGCAATTATGTATAGCATCTCTATCTTTATAAGGCAAAGGGAACAAATCATTATGATTTTTCTAGGACCCCTCTAGAAAATCTTAAAGATAGTTTTAGATAATCTAAAGATCGTTCTTAGCATTTAAAAATATGCTAAAAAAATTGTTTTCCCCAAAATACAGGGTTCAGTGTGGGAAAGCAAAACCATTTTCAGAGGATACTTGATATCTTTAGATACTTAAGATAGGAGCACAGGTGCCTAGGAAACAATACTTGGTTATCTATATAATCGAAGTAACAAGAAAACATTGGAAAATAAATGTAGAAAGGAACACAGTCTTAAAGAATTTAGGTCTTTTCACAAATGAGGGCCCTTGTTCCTTTTTCTTTTCTTAAATAATCAAGAACTTTTCAAGTCAACATAAAGCTCTGAAAATAATTTTCGTGAGACACAGAATCTCTGCTAGCTAGGCAGATTCCATAGGAGGTAAAGAATATCCTCTTGCAGTGTAGTCCAAGGCATTACTCAGTAAACTAAGGAAGCAAGCCATCAAAACCGAGGGAACTATGCCAAAATTTTAATGTATTTTATAGCTTTTTTTTAAAGACTCGAGTATTGTAAACCAAAGCAAGTAAAATTCATTTTCCATGTTTTGTCTTTTATTTTTCTCTTTTATATTCTGAAACAAATTTATATTTTACTTTAGAATTGCCTTTTTCATTCATTTATGCTCTCTCGAAAGTATATGATGGAGTTTTCCAGAGGCTACCTGAGTGACATTATAACAAATGCAGAAAGAGATGAGTATTTGGTTCTTGCCTATTAAGCCAGACATTAGAAAGACTTGCACAAATATTAAACAATGCCATTTTGTCTTCAAAATATTTTGTTTTGGGAAATATAGTTATTTTCCCCAAAATATATGTTATTTATGTTAAAATGCAATGGATTCATCATTGCTATTTTCAGATGAATCAATAGTTTAAAAATTTCTCAGATTTGATTTGACTTCGCTGCCGAGGGCCTGGGTTCAGTCCGTGGTCGGGGAACTAAGATCCCACGGGCCATGTGGTGCAGGAAAAAAAAAAAAACAAAAAACCAATACTCTTTTTTTTTTTTCTTCCCCCAAAACAAAAACACAGACACAATCGTATTTCCTTTTCATTACTGCACCTGGCATAGTCTCAACCACCCATTTTAATTATAATAATTAACCAAAGTAACTAACTCATATTTCATAGAGAAGATTGGGAGGAGGGAGGATGTGGATAATTGAGAACTTTCCATCACATGCAGGCATTTTAGCACAGCTAGACTCGCACAGCTCATGAATCACATGACATCAATTTCTACTGTGACATACATCACTTTTGCATCCCCTGAAAGTGGCAAAAAGGAACACGTTCATTTGACATGACACACCTCAGTTACAGCTTCTCTACAGCATACAAAAATAGGCAAACATATATAATCATATATGCTTATTATGCTTTGTAATCGAAGTTTCAGTTACTTAGAAATTATCTAGGTAGGTATCCAATGACTATCAATTAGCTCAACTTACTATTAGTCCATTGTAAGTTACCTAAAGATCTTGGGAATGATCTTTAAGTTGATATGCTATAAAACATAATTGCTGTATGTATAAAAAGTTTATCAGAATAATTAATTGAACACAAACTTAGTTTTCAAAATCTTAACCATTATATAGGCATAATATTAGCTTATTTGACTAGTTATCCTATATAAATTTAGGAGAAATCAACCCAAGTAAAACAAAATGTACATCTGCATTATATTTAACACTGATTAATCCAGAAAAAGACATACCTGTGTTATAAAACTCATCATGCAAGTCTTATTTGCCAAAGAGTTACCCTAATTTTGTGAACTTGGATTCTTAAAATATCACTGAGTTAGGGTGTATTTTCTGTGGAATAATTTTTAAGTCTAGTAAATTTAAAGTTTTAGAGGTTCAGCTTCCTTATTTTCTGTGAAGTTTAGGAATATTTAATTTATATAAACGCTTGCTTATCTTTATAAGCAAGTGCTTATAATATAAAAGATGCCATAATCTAATTTATTGGTACCCTCTGGAAACAGGAAAGCATTCCACACACAAGACGTAAAGGCCCTTCTGAACTGCAGACACGGACGCACAGAGCTTAATGGCTTCAGTCCTACAACTGCAGCCGCAAGTGAAAAGTAAACACAAAAGCACACAAAAAATCACCAGTTGAGATTTCACAGAGTTATTCTCCTTCCCAGTGGCCACGGAATTCTTAATGAATTTGAGCTCAAAATAGAAAAATATCAAACAAAAACAACCAAGAAACCAGATTCCTTGTTCTCTTTTTGCCACAGGAACATAGGTCTCTATCACCTTTCGTTGGTGATCAAGTTGTCAGACCCTGAATCTGAATTCCCCACCAAGGGGGAACAACTTGTCAGCCATGTATGAACTAGAAAGAAAAATAAAACACAAAATCAGTAAAGAGGACATGAGAACTAGAGAGAGAATCAGTGGAACGCAAGTCTGTTGCTGTGTTGGATTCACCCTGGGAGCCGTCTCGGGCAGCACAGGTTACCTGGCTCCATCAGGTACGCCCAGCAGGCATTTCGTTGGATGACCTTACAAATGTAACATGAACAGATGGCACAGACTTTACTTAATTGATCATTTAAGGAACCAGTACAACAGCTTTTTTCCTTAAGTGTTGGTAACTGACAAAGACACCTCTCCTTGGGGCCTTAGCATCTTACACGAGCATTTTTAAAATTTGAGCTAAAGTTGATTTACAATGTTGTGTTGGTTTCAGGTGGACAGCAAAGGGATCCAGTTATATATATGCCTATTCTTTTCCAGATTCTTTTCCATTATAGGTTATTACCAGATGCTGAATATAGTTCCCTGTGCTATACAGTACGTCCTTGTTGTTTATTTTATATGTAGTGGTGTGTATCTGTTAATCCCATACCCCTAATTTATCTCTCCCCACTTTCCCCTTTGGACATAAATCATAGCAATATTTTCTTAGATCAGTCTCCCAAAGCAAAAGAAATAAAAGCAAAAGTAAACAAGTAGACCTAATTAAACTATAAGCTTTTGCACAGCAAAGGGCACCATAAACAGAACGGAAGGACAACCTATGGGATGGGAGAAAATATTTGCAAATGATGCAGTCGACAAGGGCTTAATTTCCAAAATATACAAACACCTCATACATCTCAATATCAAAACAACAAACAATCAAAAAATGGCAGAAAGGGACTTTCCTGGTGGCACACTGGTGAAGAATCTGCCTGCCAGTACAGGGGACACGGGTTCAAGCCCTGGTCTGGGGAGATCCCACATGCCGCGGAGCTACTAAGCCCGTGCGCCACAACTACTGAGCCCGCATGCCACAACTACTGAAGCCCGTGTGCCTAGAGCCCGTGCTCCACAACAAGTGAAGCCACTGCAATGAGAAGCCCGCGCACCGTAATGAAGAGTAGCCCCCGCTCGCTGCAAGTAGAGAAAGTCCGCACGCAGCAACAAAGACCGAACACAGCCAAAAATAAATAAATTTTTAAAAAATATGGCAGAAGACCTAAATAGACATGCCTCCAGAGAAGACATACAGATGGCCAACAGGCACATCAAAAGATGTTCAAGGGGTTCCCTGGTGGCACAGTGGTTGAGAGTCTGCCTGCCGATGCAGGGGACACGGGTTCGTGCCCCGGTCAGGGAAGATCCCACATGTCGCGGAGCAGCTGGGCCCGTGAGCCGTGGCCGCTGGGCCTGCGCGTCCGGAGCCTGCGCTCCGCAACGGGAGAGGCCACAACAGTGGGAGGCCCGCGTACCGCCAAGAAAAAAAAGTTCAACCTAGCTAATTATTAAACGAGCATTTTGACTTATTTTAAGTGTTGAAAATCTTGAGTACTCTCCCAATATTAGCATGTTGACAATTCCATCCGGTTTCCAAGATCTGCTCTTGGGTGGGGCTCAGTGGTGAGTGTGCATGTGACCAACTGCTGGGCTTCCTTCCCTCAGGGCTCTCTCTGCTCTTGGGAACTGTCACTAACTCTTGCTTCTTTCGCAGTGACAGAGTCCAGGCCCTGTCCTATGCACAGCACACGCGGCAGCTCATCTCCTGTGGTGGTGACGGTGGGATTGTCGTCTGGAACATGGACGTGGAGAGGCAGGAGGTAGGTGCCACAGCAGCCTCGGGCCACCCCCCTCCTCAGCCACCGGGCTGGGCTCTGCAGCTCCTACCCTACTGAAAAAAGCTTCAGCCTCCCCTCCTACTCACTTCTTCTTTCTTTTATGAGTAAACCGTGAAAGAAAACATGTTGTGTCAGAAAATTTAAAAATTCTGGTATGAAAGGAGCTTCCGTTTTCTTTTTTAACCCCTCATAAATTGGCACGTAACACTTAACGTAATGGAGATTTCGTAAGAATTTCAACTGAGACTAAGCTGGTTAGACTTTAAATCTGTTGAACCATTACAACAGCAGTTCAGGCGAGAAAGAGGAAGCAGCTATTTTCAGGTGAGTAGCCGTTTGCTATAAAGTGCCTACGAAGACAGAAAGCGTAGTACTTCATGTTATTGGGGGAAGTGGTGGCTAGTGTGTGAGAAATGGTATTTGATGAAGGATCCTTAGTTTGGTATTAATAGAAATATTAGAAATATTTTTTGTGTGTTTGCGAGTCATATTCTAAGCAGTTCTCCAGTTATAAATATATACGTTGTCATTTTTTAGGCATATATTTAAGTTTTATCATAACATTCTTTTTTCAGTGAATTTTCTTTTTCCTCTTTGAGCATCTTAACAACGATTTGCTTACTGAATATCACCTTTGACAGGTACTTTGAAGTTAACCATTTTCTCATTTCCCTAGAATTATGCTGGGTGAACTTTCCTTTTGACAGTGTGTATTCTTCTAATTTATTTCCTTGCGGGATGCGAGACTTAGAAAAGCAACACTTGAAAAATTAGACAG